GTAAGAGGCTGTCTTCAGAGCTTACACTCCCAGTAACTCTGTGTACTCATTTCAATAGCACAAGATGACAAAGTGTTCTTTAACGTAACAGGGAGCTTGAATGAGGACTATGTGCCCCACCCTCACCCTCATTCCTGCTTTCCCTTGGATTCCAAACAGGGTGTAAGTATGAAGCCTTTGGCTTTGGCTTCTCTTGAGCTGAGCCTACTTCGTAGAGTTGTTCCTCCAGTAACTATATATTTCCTAGCCTAGACTCCCCCGCCCCACTATCTTACTCCTCTTCTGCCTTCAAGTGGTACTTCATTTTGAGGCTTCCTTTATTATTTGGAAGGAAGTGGAGATCTGGTATCTTATTGTTAAAATCATTCCTGAGAAACTTCCCAGAGAGAGGAGAGGAATTATAGACACAACCCATAGGTGTTTATCACCTAAATTGCCTCTGGGGCATAGAAACCATACTAAGCTGATAATCTAGCTTTCCCGAGGTATTCTATGCTCCAGAAGGGGTCAGGGTTGAAGCTGCTTATCTTCAAATACTCCCTTTTCTCTCTTCCTCCCCTGCTCACCCAGCTTAGTTGAGTCCAGTATTTAGACCTTCCTGCCCGCAGAGATTTGTAGAAGGGAAAACATTTCCCTGTTCCCTCTCCTCCCAACATTTTGCTCTTTGGAAACAGCTGTCCTGTTTGGCGAGGGCCATGTTCCTCTCTCTGCCTCGAAGTTCCTGCTTTTTGCTACCTTAGATGTCCATAGATTCGGTTGTTTTCTCTCTTTTCTTTCTTCTTCCTCCATGTTCATTATTAGAGCATGAGTCGATCGGGAAAATGAGCCTGGCATTATGGCACTTCCTAATTGGAACCTTGGGAGACTGCAGGAGGGCAAAGAGGCTCGATGATTAACTATTTGTGTTTTTAAGACTCCCTCTCCCCACCCCACCCTGCCTCTCCTGGGTGAAAGAGAGAAATGATCTGGAGTACAGCGAAAGCATTCCTCTTTGGGAGAATGTTTTGTAGGTCTCTCGAGGATGTATTTTCCCCCTTCGTTTTTGTAATCTCCTATACTGTATATAGTATATAATGTTCAGGGCGCTTTCTAAAATGTGCTTGGGAAGTTTCATGCTTCTGCAATTGGACTTTCCATTTAATGATGATACACTTTGTTTTTAGAAATAGGTTAGGAAATAGGCCACAATTTGCTCTTTTGGACCAGATAGAGTTAAGATGATAGTCAGCTTCTTTGCCTTTGAAATCATCTTGGTAGTCAGTACAAATGGGATCAGCGGTAAGGAGTCTAGCAACTGTTTTAGTGCTTGAAAGGGACCTCCTTGAATTCTCCAAGCCCCATCTCCGTATACCATGAAGCACATATAGGGTTGGAGTAGAGGCTCCTACATTAAATAATAGGTATGTCTGTTCAGCTTTTATTCATATTTATAATCCAGAAATCATAAACCCTCATTTGTCTTATGCTCCTTTCTCTTGGAAGTGTGAAGGGGTGTGAGTTATGGGACGAATTTCTTCTTGCCCCTCCTGGAATGACTATTTTTCTCAAATAACAACCAGTAAGATCCCAAAGAACTTGAGAAAAATTGTTCCCTGATCTGTCCATTTTCATTGTTAAAGAATTTACTTATCTTTTTAGTACTTTCTATGTATTTTATATGTATAATTTTATACAATTAAAAATAGATTTTTGTCTAGTGAGCCACATTGACTCTTTCTTGAGACCTATGTATCAGAGGAGCTCTAAAACGACCCCTTCTTTTACAAGTACACTAAAAGAGAATTTTGATTATTTTTTGGGTGGTAGAAATAAGATTGTACTGCTGGGAGAAAGTATTCTGCCTCCCCTTCTCCAGACATTTGAGGAGTCTGGATTTTGTCACTGATCCTATCTTCTCAAGCTCTACCCATTTCCACTGGCAATCTCACCCACCATGGTGACTTCAACTCTATCATACACACCATTCTCAAATCTATTTCTTTCACCCTTTTAAGCTTTTGCATCTATATTTCCACATATTGGACATCACTACCTGAATTTATGGCACAAGCTCTTTGAATTCACATATTCAAAATAAAAGCTATTTCCATACATGCTCCTCTTTGACTCCCCAAATCTGTTATTAGGATTATTATCTACCCATCTATCTAAGCTAGAATCTTAGGTCCATCCTTGACTTTTCCTTACCATGATCTAATCAGTCACTGTTGAGGTTACCTCCTATGTAAACTTAAAAAAAAAAAAAAAGATTTATTTATTTGAAAGAGAGAGAATGCAAGCAAGGAGAGGGGCAAAGGGAGAGAGAATCTGCAAGCAGACTCCTTGCCAAGTGCAGAGCCTGACCCAAGGCTCGATCCCAGGACCCTGAGATCATGACCTGAACCAGGCACTGAACCAGCTGAACCACCCAGGCGCCCCTCCTATATAAACTTCTTAATCTGTCTTGTCCATATACACTGCCTTAGTTCAGTCATTTATCATTTCTGGGCTGGAGCACTGCAACAGCTTCCTACCTAGACTCTGTCTTCATTCTTAACATCCTCCACACTATTGTTAGATTTCTTTCTAAAATACTTAGTACTGTACCACTATCTTGCTTAAACCATCACTTAGCTATTTCGTCTTTAGTAGCATTCCCCAAAGTTTTATATGTGAACCCTTGGTATTACCTGAGACAATTTTAGGTGGTAGATGGGCAAACATTTTTAATTTTTAAAAAATTTTTTAAAGATTTTATTTATTTGAGAGAGACAGAGAGAGCATTAGTAGGAGGAAAGGGCAGAGGGAGAGGGAGAAGCAGACTCCCTGCACCGATGCAGGACTCGATCCCAGGACCCTGGGATCAGGACCTGGGCCAAAGGCAGATGCTTAACTGACTGAGCCACCCAGACACTCACATTTTTCATTTTTACTTATAGTCTAATCTGAAACTGTCAGAAAAAAAATACAGATTTTACATTTATGCCAGTGATATTTAAATTCAGTATAAATTTGTTTAATTAACAAGTCAGTCTACTTAAGGAAAAATACTAATCAAGGAACATCATGGGGGCTATCTGTGATTGTGAAAAATCATGAATACCCAAACACTTGAAGTCGAGAAATTATTGCCTACAGGATAAAATTCCAAAATCTTTAGCATGGCATGCATTTTGGCCCCAACCTGTACTTTCACCTTTATTTCCTAGCCGCACAGCATCAGGCAAACAGAATTTCTTGCCATTCTGGTTATTTGTTCCTTCAATAAGTATGTATCAAATGTCTACTGTGAGCCAGATACTGATCTAAACTGTAAGGCTGGGACGCCTGGGTGGCTCAGTCGTTAAGTGTCTACCTTCGGCTCAGGTCATGATCCCAGGGTCCTGGGTTTGAGCCCTGCATCGGGCTCCCTGGTGGGAGCCTGCTTCTTCCTCTCCCACACCCTCTGCTTGTGTTCCCTCTCTCGCTGTGTCTCTCTCTGTCAAATAAATAAAATCTTAAAAAAAAAATAAAATAAAACTGTAAGGCTATCGTTGTAAATAAAAGTCTCTGCCATAAGGATTACACTCTAATGGGAAATCGACAATAAACAAGATAGAAAGTAAACAAGGTAACTGGGCTGGCATTTAAACTCTGTGAAGGAAATAAACAGAGTGAGGGACAGTAAAGTAGAGAAGAATCCTTCGATTCCGGCAGCATTTTTGGGAGACCTAAAGGATGAGGTTGAATGAGCCATGTGAAGAGCTGGAGTAAGAACATCAGGAACAGGAAGTTCCAAAAGTCCTGAGAGGAAAGAGACAACCATAGTTAAGGGAAAGTGTAGGGAGAGCTTAATGAGACTTTGGTGATGGAAGTCGTTGGAAACTGGCAGAGCAGGTGGTTTGAATTTTATTCCAAGTGCAAGAATAAGGAAGGGTTTTTGGTAGGGATAAGGCCAGCTGATTTTTTCAAAGATCACACTACCTACTGTGGAGAATGGATTAGTGTCTCCTAGTCTCAGTACAACTGCTTTGCCTGGAAAACTATCCAGTCTTAAAGGCCTAGTTCAAATGGAAGCCTTCTTATTCCCAGTCCTATTATAAACTTCCTTTGTACTGCCATAACAACTTTGTGATAGCAATCATCACTCTCATAATTATATAAAGTAATTGCTGATAACGTAATTATTTTTCCTTTCATTGCCAGCACCTTCTCTAGTATTAGATACACATATTATAACTGTTTGATTAAAAAAATTAATAAATAAGTGGATGTGCAGTCCACCACTGTTGAAGGCCTACATCAGGATTCCAGAATTTGGGGGCAATATGGGTTTTGCGTCCTAGGCAAAAAACTCCTAGGTTTTTAAAACATGAAATACCTGCACCATTCTCAAAGAGCTAAAGTCCCTATTTTGTTTAAAGCCATGTTTTTTTTTTTTTTTTTTTTTTAACTCTCGGAGGTGGTGGCAAGAGTTTGAGAGTTTATCTTAAAAAAATAAGCAGCTGATACCTGTCTCACCAATCCTAGTTCACTGACAGCCAGGTCTGTTAGTTTTCTTGAGAGACAAATTCGGTGCTGCAGTACGAACCGGAAGCAGCTTTTTGAGCCAGCATTGCTGACTGAACTATTTTAAAAATGTTTCCATCACGGATCCAGCTACTCCTTCGAACAGGGTACGGGTCTAGAAGTTTTGAGGGAAAAAAACATTCATCAAGTTCCATTTCCTAGTATGGAGTCCAAGGAGACGGAAAACAATCCTCTAATAAAGAAATCAGGCAGTGATTCTCCGGCAGTAGTATTTTTCCTCGGCTGCCCTAATTAATAGGAAGCCATTGTCTGCACCTACCCGCTGGCGGCCCCTTAGAGATCTACTCCACTTAGCTCACCAACTGCTCAAGATGGCTACAGGAACACTTCCGGCATCTTCCCGAACTAGGCCCGCCTTCATTTGCGTATTTTCACCGCGCCGGGGGCGGGACTTAGACTTAGCTTTTGATTGGTCAATTTAACTAGCGACTTTTCCCCTCCGCGACAGTTTCCCGAGGTGCCTAGTGCCTGAGCGGCACAGACGAGAGTAAGAAGGAAGGCAAGATGGCGGACGTGCTGGATCTTCACGAGGCTGGGGGCGAGGATTTCGCCATGGATGAGGATGGGGACGGTGAGGACAGTGCAGGCGGCTGCGGGAAGCGGGGAAGGTGCGAGAGAAGGGACTCATAGGAAGATAATTTCCTTTCCCGGCAGGGAGGATGGGATTCGGGGAATCGGGTTTCAGTTGGATTAGAGACAGCGCCCCCTTCGGGAGGAATGTGGGTGGGACCGGGAAGGGAATGGGAGTGGAGGTGGTGGGGCAGCTTTCAGATAATGTGTCCGTAAAGAGACTATTGTTACAAATACTTGTTATTTTTGTTACTCATTCTTTCACTTCTGGGGCTCCAGAGAGCATCCACAAACTGAAAGAAAAGGCGAAAAAACGGAAGGGCCGCGGCTTTGGCTCCGGTGAGTGTGGGGAAAATGGGTCTAGAATGGCGACATTCTACGAGTTTTGGAGTCCCCATTCAGACTCATGGGGAACAGTGGGAGAATGGATTTCTGGTGATCTCTTGTATGTTCCATATAGAAGAAGGGTCTCGAGCACGGATGCGTGAAGATTATGACAGCGTGGAACAGGATGGTGATGAACCTGGACCGCAACGCTGTAAGTAAAATGTAGCCTGTAGGGAATCTGTTTGTAGGGAATTATGGACCAATGAAATAAAACCCAGTAGGAATGGGGTCGGAGATACCTTAACCAGTCTCTGGAATCCCCACTTACTCCACTCTTGTGATCTTGCTTGAAGTTTTTCTCTTGTGCTCAAACCTCCCTCCCTCCCCAACAGCTGTTGAAGGCTGGATTCTCTTTGTCACTGGAGTCCATGAGGAAGCCACTGAAGAAGACATCCATGACAAATTTGCAGAGTACGGGGAAATAAAAAACATCCACCTCAACCTGGACAGGCGTACAGGATACCTGAAGGTATCCTAAGCGACACCCTATTGCCTCTCTTCCCCCATAACCTTTAGATAGCTTTGATAGTTCTCCCGTGTTTCTTGTGATTGGCCAAGAGCAAAGTTAAAATGAGATTGGAAATTGATTTTGTCAGACATAGCAAAGAGACGGAAACAGACACATTTTGTATGTACAATAAGGATATATGATGTACATTTGTTTAAAGTTTATAGATTTTTGTATTTGAGTATGAGTTTAGATTTGAGGAAGAGGATACTTAGGTGGTGTTTGGTGGAATATGAGAGTTTTGATCTCTGTCTTTTCACTTGTCCCAGGGGTATACTCTAGTTGAGTATGAAACATACAAGGAGGCCCAGGCTGCTATGGAGGGACTCAATGGCCAGGATTTGATGGGACAGCCGATCAGTGTGGACTGGTGTTTTGTTCGGGGTCCACCCAAGGGCAAGAGGAGGTAAAGTGGAGAGGGCAAACTATCTTGGTGAAGGGAACATGAGCAAAACAGAATAAGGATGTTGTATTATGTTCCTCTGATGGGCCCTTCCTTTACCCTAGAGGTGGCCGAAGACGCAGCAGGAGTCCAGACCGGAGGCGGCGCTGAGAGGTCCTCTGTTGTCCAGATGTTCTCTCCAGAGATTCTACTTGGCCATGCAGCCTTGGAGAAATAGGGCAGGGGTAGAACTCACTGTGTTAATATTTAATCTCTCACCCGACTTGCTTAGTGGGTTGGTTTTTGTTTTTGTTTTTGTTTTTGAGTTAGGAATAAATGTCCCATTTTTGTTTTGTACATTTAAAATTACTTTCCTCTTCTAACATTGCCAGCTCGGAAGCACTATTTACAGTAAGGCAGTTTGGGTCACTGTGAAGATACTTCTTGGGCCTCAATTCTGTTTGAATTTCTACATTAGATATAGTCTCAAGTTTCAGCTAGGGTCAAAGTAGAGACACTGCTCAGTACTTCTTTTTCTTGGAAGCTAAGAGAGCCTGGGTAGAAGTGAGGTGTTCTTGTGATATTAAAGCATAATTATTTTGTTCTTGTATACTCTGTTCCATGCAAATGGATGTTACAGGAATGTCTCTCCTGTTTCTCCTGTCCTTCCTGCTGCCATGTTTGTTTGTACTTGCAGCTGTCTAAGGGCTTGAATCTCCTGTCAGGGCATTCTCTCAGAACGTTTTGCCCTGGAAGAGTCTATACTAAGTTCTTGGTGCCTTCTTCGGCAGTCAAGGGTGAAGGCTCCATAGAGGAGAGGATCCAGAGGAGCATCGAGGAGGCCAAAAAGGAAAAGGATGTGGCTGAGGCTGGGGGGAACTTCAGTTAGCATGGTGGGAGAGAACCAGTACCACAGGCCCAGCAGGTAATAAGGTGTCCAGCAGAGGACGAAGGTCAGCAAGACAAGGAAGGCCAGTCGCAGGGCCCGCAGGCGAACACGGGAGCGATTGTCTAAGGAGCAACGGAGGGCAAATTCACCAGCAGGGGCTGGGAATTTAGAAAACACTCAAATTCAGAACCACTCAGCTTCTGAATTGAGTGTAGGATGAACAGGCAGGGATGGTGAGCTGGAGTTCTCCTGATACAAGGAAGAGAATGTGGCAAATAGGAGTTAATGTTGCACATCCTCTTCCCTTCCCAGACTGGGACTGTATGCTCCCCCCTCTCCCCTAGGGAGTATGACAGACATGCTGGAGGAAAGGTTTTGATTGAGGTGTGGTATTATGAAGCTGCTAAGACTACTTGAAGACTTGATGGTGTCCACGACTAAAGGAGAACACTGATCACCTTTCTCCTTAATCTTGCCTGGCTAACTCAACAATGGAGGGTGGCTAGAGGCTGGTTATAATCGGAGGCATTTAGAAAATACTTGTAGCATCAGGTGCTAGAGGGATGGTTATGATGTCACTTTTGGTTTGATAGAAAACTATTAGATCAGTAAATGAGGCTAGAGGCAATAGTTTTTAGGGTATGGGTTAGGGCCCGGAGATTGGAGTCTTAGCATGGTTCCCCTTCCTTGTCTGGGCACTAGACACCCTGAGGACAATGTGGCTATAGCAGACAGTCATGGCAGTCAGTGGCAGCAGAAAGAGGCAGCAGAAGGTGAAGAGGTTATAGGTGATCTCTTGCCATCGAGCCTTGAAGCTGCCTTTGGTGACACGCTAAGTGAACGGGCCTGGGCCAGCTCGGCGGACGGTGTGGAACAGGAACAGCTGGAGTGGAGTTTGAGGACTATTAGAACTGGTCCCCCTTCACCCTTTTCCCCGGTCACACTATCCCAGTTCATCCTTAATTCTCTGCAAAGCTGGGTAGTGCTGAGTTCATCCATAGTGCCATATTTAAAAGGTTCAAAACTTGAGAATCCCTGTCTTCCCCTTAGGCTACGGGACTTAAAGAATCTTGCCTCCTCCAGTACTGTTCTGACATTGCGCTTTGTAAAAGGATGTTTCTACCACCTCACCAACATTTTTAGCTGAAATGATTTTTTTGATGTGTCTAATTCTGTGGAAAAAGAAATTTTGTATAAAATGGGTGCTGCTAAAATTTCAGGCCATTTTGCAGCCACTCTGTGAAGTGACCTTTAGTGATAGTCTTATGTACAGTAACTATAACAGTGAAACAATGTTAAGTAATAAAATTTAACATTTTCCAAATGCTGTTGGCTTCCCCTTCCCCTTTTTGGTAAATTGCTGAGATTTTGGCTAAAGAGTATTTTTCAGTTTAGAGCTTCAGGGTTAGTACCTTGATTCAGGTAAGGCAGATTGAGTCACTGTTAGTTTGATAAAAGTCAAGCTTAGTGGGTCTCTGATTCCTAGATCTAAGGCATTTGGGAAAGTGATTTCAGCAGGCGTGAGGGACTTTTAGGAAAGGTGAATAGTATCAGCCACAGACACAGTTTTATGAATGGCTTGGAGTTACGATCAGCTACTCTGAGCTAGTTGGGGAGTCATCTTTCCCCTTTGCCTGTCTTGAGTCCATATATCTGTAGGTTTTTTGATTGGTTGGTTTGGTTTCTTTTTGCACTATGCCTAGATGTACCTGACATCTTGTGAAAAGGGGTTTAAAAATAAGCAAGGCTCCTGGACTTAGAGTTTGGTCTGTAGCCCTACCTCTGCCTTTCCTTCTCCCTATTTTATACAGTTTATCACCCACTACAGAAACCTTCCTTTCAACCACTTATGATACTTAGAAACTTGAGCCTTCAAAGATAATTTCTAACTATTCCAATAACTCCCTCACCACACTACCACCACACTTAAAAAAAGGTTTTTTTTATTGACATATTAGTCCTTGAAGGTAAGATTAATATTTTTTTTAAGATTTATTTATTTATTTATTTGAGAGAAAGAATGAGAGAGAGAGAGAGCACATGAGAGGGGGGAGGGTCAGAGGGAGAAGCAGACTCTCCGCTGAGCAGGGAGCCCGATGCAGGGCTCGATCCCGGGACTCCAGGATCATGACCCGAGCCGAAGGCAGTCGCCCAACCAACTGAGCCACCCAGGCGCCCGGTAAGATTAATATTTTAAATAGAACATATGGGCAATGCAGAATTTATACAACAGGATGCTAATTTGGAACCAAAAATACCATCTTTTGCACATGTATCATAATGTCATCAGTTTGCCATTGAAACAAATGGAGATTGCAGTTGTCAGAATGTGACAAATGATGAAACTCCTATCTAATATCTTGCAGCCCATTGGTTTCAAGTGATTTAGCCAAAGTCATATAGCTAGTTAGTAGAGCCTAGACTCAGAAAAAAACAAAGTAAAACAATGCAACAAAAACAGGCTTCTACCTCCCAGTCCACATCTAAAATTTGCTTCATATAAACAATTGTAATACCTTTTGCACTGAGGCAGCAATGCTGCTTTTTAAAGCTTTGGGTAGCAGAGGTCCTGCTTGCAGCATTGTTAGAAGCACTGTTTGTCTTAGAACTATAGTCAGACTAACTTTTGGTAGTTATATTTCTAATATTTGAGGATTTATTTTTTTTTAAAGATTTTATTTATTTGAGAGAGAGAATGAGAGAGAGCACGAGAGGGAAGAGGGTCAGAGGGAGAAGCAGGCTCCCCGCTGAGCAGGGAGCCCGATGTGGGACTCGATGTGGGACTCCAGGATCGTGACCTGAGCCGAAGGCAGCCGCCCAACCAACTGAGCCACCCAGGCGCCCTCTAATATTTGAGGATTTAAATCATATTTTAAATCTGATTCTATAATGCATTGTCATTCCAGAGCCCCTTCTAGGTAGATTCCTAATCGTGGTCTCCCAAGATGCTGCTCTACTCCTTCCCCTCAGAGGGTAGTGGTGGTTTTGGTTTGGGTCTTAAAGGAATTGCTTCATATTTCATTTTTTTTTTTCTAGATTTCTAGTTCATTGTCAATACATGAGATTTGATAACTGGTACTCAAGTTCAGATGCTCCATTTTCTTTCTAGTTTTCTTTCCAGTTTTCACAATAAAGCTAGAGTAAAAAATACAAATCTCATTATGTGACTCTCCATCTTTTATCTTAGTGTCTCTCTACTGCCCTCAGGATGAAGTACAACCTTAATATCTATGACGTGGCTCTTCCTTCCCATCCAGGCTCATTACTCACCCATTTTCTTTCTTTCTTTTTAAGATTTTATTTATTTATTTGATGCAGAGAGAGAGAGGGAGAAGCAGGCTCCCCACTGAGCAAGGAGCCCGACGTGGGGCTCGATCCCAGGACCCCGGGATCATGACCTGAGCTGAAGGCAGCTACTTAACTGGCTGAGCCACCCAGGCGCCCACTCACCCATTTTCTAGACCTCAACTCTAGCGACAACTACTTTGAATTCCTCTACCTTCCACCCTCCCCAGCATTCCTCCTGTTTTAACTTGTCTCACACCTCTCTTATTTTAATCAAAAACAATCCGTTTTAATGTCTTTGAGAAGTTTTCCCTGACTGTCCAAGAGCGGGTCAGACATTCTCATTGTTCTTTAGCTCCTTATGCTTACCTTTAGCATAATGCTTTACTGCGTACTGTATTATAATTGCATACTAATATGTCTTCTGCACTAGTCTAAGTTTCCTGAAGGCAGGTCTTTGCTGCTCAATCCTTGATAGAGCATTAGGGTGTGCCTAGGGGTGATTAACATTATTTTTTGAATGGAGAGTGACTGTACCACAGAGTTTTAACCAAAGCCCCTGACTTCACTGTCTTCTTTATAGACCCCCATATATGTTTTATCCCTAGAGTTTCTGCAACAGTCTCCTGAAGAAGCTGGGAGGATGCAAAAAGGCATAGATAGAGGGTACTGCTTTGAAGATGTAGGCTCTTAATAGAGATACAGATTAACATGCAATGATCTTAATTTGCAAGACAGCAGAGGCTCCCCTCTGAGCATTAATGGGTGACCACTGGTCAAGCACACCCCTCGACAACAAACGCTCTTGTTGTTTACCCAAATTATTGTCCAGTCTACCCTTGAGTCCCAACAAGTCACTCACCTGGGGCAAGGCAAGCAGGAAACTAAGTCCCCAGGCAGTCCCCAGAAGTTTCCTTCCAGCTGAGCGGGGTCCAAGCTGGTGCAGTACGGCTGCCTGACGGTCAAGTCCAATGACCACAGGCAGGAAAGCTGCAGCATACACGGCCATCAGTTTCAGGAACATGAGTGTCCGACATGCGATGTCCCTGGCCAGCCACTGAACGGTGATATTCCAGATGGCATCTAGGGGCATAACCACAAAAGTGACTAGTAAGTCAGCAGCTGCTAAGTGGGCAAAGAGTCGTCGTACAGGGGAGGGGCGGAGTTGGCCGGGTTGTGGCCGAGTCACTGACCAAAGGACGGTCAGGTTCCCTGCAGCTGAAGAAATGAACAGCACAATGGTCACTCCCACTCGGACCTTGGCTGCACCTGAGAAGGTGGGCAGCTCAGAGCCCTCCACCTCTACTCCCGATCCCGCCCAGACCTCCTCCCCCGCTGCTAACCCCGGGGTCGGGGGGGGGGGGGTGTGCCATTGCCTGCAGACATGGTGACCTGGAAGGGAAAGGGGTGGGAGGACGAAGTGTTAGTATGAAGCGGTTAGCTTCGTCCACTGATTCTTCGCCCTCCTTATTAGGATCTGAAGCTGGTTATTGCGAATTTCGTCCATTAAAGCCTCTGTCTCCGGAGACTCAATCTGTATCCTGGAGGTCACCTGCCCAAATGTCAGGGTCCCGCAGGGAACAGGGATCTGGTGCTGGCTTCTACTTCCATAGACTTCTTTAGCCCCTACAGCCCTGGGTTCGGCCGCAGCGCTTGTGTGTTTGTGTGTGCGTTGCGGGTGTTCTGGAAGCACCCCCGGGGCAACCCTACCCCAGCTGCGCAGGCAAGACGCTGCCGTGCCTTCTCGCCCCGCCCCTGCTGCAAGCCCCGCCCCTGGTCCAGAATATTTAAAGAAGAATGTACCGCCGGAAGTGTGCTTAGAAAATAGAGGCGATCCGATAAGCGTATATTCTGACAGAGACCCACCGAAAAACACCCTGGTGTTGGTCCAGAGACAAACGCTTCTTGTTCTGAAATTCCGAGGCCGGCCTCACTCGCTCTCTTTTCTGGCGATATTTGTCCCTCGTGAGACACCGTTGATCGTCCAGGAGGCGTGACAAGGGGCGGGCAGTGGGGCGGGCGCGGGGCTGCGGAGCCAGGCCTGCCGCTGTCATGGACGCCTGGGTTCGCTTCAGTGCTCAGAGCCAGGCCCGGGAGCGGCTGTGTAGGTGCGGCCCCAATAGGAAGGGGGGTGGGGACAGAGGAAGATCCTCGTGAGGCGAGGTCCGTTCATACTACGGGGGGTCAAAAGGGGTCAGCTCGGGCTACGGGGGCCCGGACGGACCGCCAGGTGCTGATTTGAGCGGGCCGTGAGGAGATGATTCGTTTCTGCTCACCGGAAAGATGGGGAAACTGAGGCACGAGTGGGCCAGCGGGGAGGCCGCTCAGGGTGGCCATGTCCACATAAGACCAGCACTTTACTCACTGGGCGGTGGTGGCGTGAGGAGCGTTCGCCCCGTGATGGATAGCCGGACTCTGCCTCCCAGAGCTGAGTGGCTTTAAGTTCCCTCGTCCCCTCACCCTGCTGTCATCCGGGGACTCCTCTGCCTCCGCCCTGTCTTCGTTCTCGAGTCAGCTAGAGGGCCTTGAAATCTCCTAGTTCACCTATTCTGAAGAATAATCCCTCCACCTGTTCCCCACTCCCTTACATGTCATGTACATGCTCACACTGATGTGCTCGTGATGGACCCCCTGCTGCCTTCACAGTCCCCTTCAGACTTCATCATTGTCAAATCTCTTATTTTCTCAACTCCAAGTAATGCCCCCAACTCCTTTTCTAGGCTCCTTTTTATCCTTAACGCCTTTCCCTTCCCCTGGCCTGAAGGAGAAACGGTAAGAAGTGGGCATAAAGAGGAGGAAAGGGAATGGTCTCAAACTGGGAAAAAGGGAAGTCGATACTTTACTTTGGAAGACACTTTTGAGGGGTAGGTTAGGGACGTCTCCGCCTTACCTTGCCTGGCCTCTTCTCCAGGGCCGCCCAGTATGCCTGCTCCCTTCTTGGCCATGCACTACAGAAACATGGGGCCAGTCCCGAGTTACAGAAACAAATTCGACAGCTGGAGGGTCATCTGAGCCTAGGAAGAAAGCGTAAGTAACCGCGCTTTTGCTTTATTACTCCCACACTTCCTCCATCCCCAGCTATTCTCTTTTAGTCCTTCCTTCCTGTTCTTGACCTTCTCTGCCAGTTCTTCCCCCTTATTTGGCTCTGCATGCCTCTTCATTGAAATAAGAGAGCAGGGGTAAGAGACTAATGAAGGATTGGAGAGCATGGGGCAAGTTTGAGAAAACCAAACTGGAACACAAATTAAAATTTGAAGAAAAAAAATTTTGAACTGTTTTTCTTCTTTTTTAAAAGAATTGTAATTATTGTTTCTGTCACTTGCTCGACTTTCACCTTCTTGCTTCCTCTTTCTCTGTGTCTCACTCTCTGCCTCTCCTTCCAAATCCTTGCTTCTCCTTGCTAATCTCCACAAGTTCTACGCCTGGGTAACTCAGCAGATGCCCTTGAGTCAGCCAAACGAGCTGTGCACTTATCAGATGTTGTCCTGAGATTCTGCATCACTGTTAGTCACCTCAATCGAGCCTTGTACTTCGCCTGTGACAATGTCCTGTGGGCTGGAAAATCTGGACTAGCCCCCCGTGTGGATCAGGAGAAGTGGGCCCAGCGTTCATTCAGGTTTGATATCCTTTTATCCTACAAGAACTTTGGTATTTCCCACACTGCATAGCTTGCCTTTTATGAGCGAAAGATCTTTCAGGGTCTTCCCAGAATATACACATCTTAATCACTTGGCTTCCGATCTTCATTTAGATTTTAAACTATCAGAGAATAGTGAATGGAGGCTCAGGAAGACAGATGTTCTTCCATGATGAATGACTGAGATTGGGCAAGACAAGATATTATATTGCTTTAAATCTGTTTCTGTCTGTACCACAGGTTATGCCTCTCACTGCCTGCTCATTCATTCATTCTAAAAATATTGAGGAGGTGTTTACTATGGGCTAGGGAATAAAGCAAAGAGTCAGATAGGGTTCCCATTCTCACTAAGCTTCTAGTCTAGTGGGGGAGTCATATTAAGACAACCACCAAACCAATTATTTGTAGAAATGTACAGGGTGTTATGAGGTATATAACAAAGGGAGCTGATTTCGACTGAAAGGCCAGGGAAGAACTCTTTGAGAAGTAATGTTTTAGTTCAGATTTGAAGTCTGAAAAGAAGTTAGGCAAAGTAAACAGTAGCAGAGAAGACCTCCTCAAACAGAAAATAGCCCATTCTAAGGCTTTAAACCAAGAAAGATTTTGTGGAATTAGAGAAATAGAAAGAAAATCAGCATGATGGAGAGTATTGAGTGAAGGGCATAATTTGAACTGGAGATGTGGAGGGGACCAGATCACATGCAAGGCCTCTTCGGCAATGGTAGGATTTTTGGTTTAGTTTTGTTTAAATTTTATCCTAAGTACAATGGGTTCTGAACAGGGATGTGACATGATTCGAATTGTGTTTAAAGAAGATCTCTCTTGCTGCAGTGCAAAATGAATTGCAGTAGGGCAAAAGAGAAGGAGATGCCCTAATATGGCCAAGAGATGATGTTGGCTTAGACTAAGGTGCCAGCTAGGCGCCCCTAGAGTTCATTTTAAATGGGATAGGAAGGAAGCCATGGTGAGTTTTAAGAAGGGGAGTAATGATGTGATTTACTATGTGAAATTAGATTGTTGGGGGCAGGGGGCAAGGGGAGACCAGTTAAATGACTAAAGTAGTAGTTCAAGCAACAGGCGCTGGTGGCTGAGGCTGCCGGTGGGGTGTAAGAGAGAGAGATGTGATTGGATTCAGGATGTGTTTTGGAGGTAGGACAATTACACTGAGTACAGACCACTATTGTCGGAGTGAACATAGACAGTTGGGGCGCCTGGGTGGCTCAGTCACTTGAGCATCTGGCTCTTGGTGTCTGCTCAGGTCACCATCTCATGGTTGATCGGTTGGTTGTGGGATCGAGCCCCCTTCTCCCCTGGCCTCGGGCTCTGTGCTCAGTGCTCAGTGGGAGTCTGCTTCAGGTTCTTTCTCCCTCTCCTGCTGCCCCTCCCCACTCATGCTCTCTCTCTAAAATAAATAAATAAAATCTTAAAAAAAAAAAAACCCACAAACCATAGACTGTTCATTGGTTGGTTGGTTGGTTTTTTTAAAGATTTTATTTATTTATTTGACAGAGAGAGACACAACGAGAGAGGGAACACAAGCAGGGGGAGTGGGAGAGAGAGAAGCAGGCTTCCCACCAAGCAGGGAGCCCAATGGAGGGCTTGATCCCAGGACCCTGGGATCATGACCTGAGCCGAGGCAGACGCTTAATGACTGAGCCACCCAGGTGCCCCTGTTTGTTTGTTTTTTAAGAAGGCTTCAATGTGGGCCTGAACCCAGGACCCTGAGATCAAGACCTAAGCTGAGACCAAGAGTTTAATGCTTAACCGACTGAGCCACCCAGGCGCCCCTGGTTTTTTGTTTTTTTTTTTTCAGATTTATTTATATATTTATTTGTCAGAGACAGAGCACAGAAGCAGGGGGAGTGGCAGGGAGAGGGAGAGGGAGAAGCAAGCTCCCTGCTGAGCAAGGAGTGCGACGCGATGCAGGACTCCATCCCAAGATGCTGGGATCATGACCTGAGCCGAAGGCAGACGTTTAACCAACTGAGCCACCCAGGCATCCCTGTTTGTTTGTTTTTTAAGTAATTTCTACACCCAACATGGGGCTCAAACTCACGACCCCAAGATGAAGAGTAGCTTTACTGACTGAGTAGCCAGGAGCCCCAAACATAGACTGTTCTTAAGGAATTGATAAATATAACACATTTAGCAAGTTGATTAATACTTCTGGGCCTTGCTTTTTGTTTTTGTTTGTTTGTTTTAACAAAATGATGGGATTTAAAAGATCTATAATGTCTCTGAGTCTCTCAAACAACTGAAGCTTGTTCTCTGAAAACATTTGCATTATTATAGTTCAAGTTGAATGTGTGTGTGTGCTAACGGTTTGCCAAGTGGACAAGTGAAATTTGAGGGTGTTCTTGGAAGGTTCGATGATGCTCATGACTTTAAGCCAGGATCTTCAGGTACATGTAAACACAGATTAGTTACAGAAAGCTGGGAAGACATCCCTAATAGTGGGTAGTAGCACTTACCGCTGGTGTTCTTACATATGATTTGCACTTTGCACTGTGAAGGAAAAAATGTTTAAGTATTCTGTTTGATATGCTAAGTGGCTACATGTGCCTTACTGACTCTTGCCTGTTTATCCCAGGTACTATCTGTTTTCCCTCATCATGAATTTGAGCCGTGATGCATATGAGATTCGCCTACTGATGGAGCAAGAGTCTTCAGCTTGTAGCCGGCGACTGAAGGGTTCCGGAGGAGGAGCCCCAGGAGGAATTGAAACTGCAGGACCTGGGGGTCCAGGAACTCCAGGAAGAGGCTTGCCTCAACTGGCTCTCAAGCTTCAGCTCCGAGTCCTGCTCTTGGCTCGGGTCCTCCGAGGTCATCCCCCACTTCTGCTGGATGTGGTCAGAAATGCCTGTGATCTTTTCATTCCACTGGACAAACTGGGCCTCTGGCGCTGTGGCCCTGGGATTGTGGGCCTTTGTGGCCTCGTGTCCTCCATCCTGTCTATTCTTACTCTGATCTGCCCTTGGCTACGACTCAAGCCCTGATATTCTGGTACAGGATAAGGAGGGGATCTGAATTGGTAAGATGGAATCTTAGATCATCCCTAA